AGCCCTCCAGATGTTTTGGACTACAATTCCCATCATCCCTGACCACTGGTCCTGTTAGCTAGGGATCATGGGAGTTGTAGTCCAAAACATCTGGAAGGCCAAAGGCTACCTATGCCTGAGGTAGATCATGCCAGAGGCTGCCAGTCCAGAGAGCTGAGATGGGGAACTGTTGTTGTTTGTTATTCTATACCACCCTTCAATCAATCAAACATCAAAAAGGCAAGCATACCATAGTAACAAACAATACCCCCCCCCCCCCCGTTTAAAAGGCCGTGGATTGTTTAATTGGCCAAAGGCTTGGGGAGAAGAGGAATGTTTTGTCTGATGCTTAAAGATACGAGTCTCCCTTTGGAGAACATCCCACAGGCAGGAAGCCACTGCAGAAAAGGCCCTGCTCTTGTGTTGCCACCTTCCAGACCTCTCACAGAGGAGGCATGAGGAAGGGCCCTGGATGATGACTTAAGGGTCCAGGTCAGTTCATATGAGGAGAAACGGTCCTTGAGGTATTGCGGTCCTGAGCAGTTTAAGGCTTTATAGGTCAAAACCAGTGCTTTGAATTGGGCCCAGAAATTAATTAGCAGCCAGTGCACTTGGGCCAGGATTGGCATTACATGCGCAAACCGTATTGTCCCAGTGAGCAATCTGGCCGCTGAATTCAGCACCAGTTGAAGTTTCCGAACTTTTCAGACAAAGAGTAGGTAGGTTCAACTAAGTCTGGCCTAAAGACTCTAAGTTCTGATTGGAATACCCTTTAAAAAATGCCCAAGGTTAAGAAAATGGGGTTCATTGAGCTCTATACTGGGGAAAAGTAGAGGTGCCAAAAGTGATGGGTTGACAAGTCAAAAGTGATGGGTTGGACATTAAAGCTACTAAATCACTGGATGAAGAACAGGTAAGAGAGGAGGAAAAGGTGTTAAAATCTATCGTTTGGCACGCTAATAAAATTCAGTTCTAGGAGCAATAAATTAGATTAAATGAATGAATGGTTAAGGAACACATGGAGTGTTCAAGGTGAGCTAAATAAATAGAGAGGTCGTTTATTTATTAATATAAACAGTGCCAGCTCCAGGTTCTAGAGGGCTGTTGGGAAAGTGGCCCTCAATGGGACCACCTCTTTGAGTAAAAAGGTAAAGGGACCCCTGACCATTAGGTCCAGTCGTGACCGACTCTGGGGTTGCGCGCTCATCTTGCTCTATAGGCCGAGGGAGCCGGCGTTTGTCCGCAGACAGCTTCCAGGTCATGTGGCCAGCATGACTAAGCCGCTTCTGGTGAACCAGAGCAGCACACGGAAACGCCGTTTACCTTCCCGCTGGAGTGGTACCTATTTATCTACTTGCACTTTGACGTGCTTTCGAACTGCTAGGTTGGCAAGAGCAGGGACCGAGCAATGGGAGCTCACCCTGCCACGGGGATTCGAACCGCCGACCTTCTGATCGGCAAGTCCTAGGCTCTGTGGTTTATCCCACAGCGCCTAATGTCCCCATTGCCCATTCAGCTGCCCAGTGGAAGAGAGAGCAGGGGAAGTGAAGGATAATGCTCTGCCTCTCCATTCTTGTTACTTATTGCAGGTACAAAGAGGGCCAGTGAACAGCACATAGGAAAAGCAGCGGAGCCTGGAGGCCAGGATGTGTGTGAACAGGAGTCGCCCTGCAGAGATGTGGGCCTCAGCAGGTACCCAGTGGTGCCTACCTCTGATGCTAGCCCTGTATGTAAAAGGAAGAATATAGTAAGGACTGTAACTGAATATGAATGATTTAAGATGTTTTGGGTTGAAATTCTGTAACGGGTGAACATAAATCTAAATATGGGGTTGTTGCTGTTTGAAATAGAAAGAGAGGATTATTGAAGGAAGGGGGAAAGATGGCAGGGAATATGCAAACATATGAAATTTAAACAGTGCTCAGGTACAGCACTGAATGAAATGGCACCAGAACTGAGTCGACTGCAACAGCAGTCCTATAAGCTCCAACTGGGATCTACTCAAAAGAAGCAACACTGACCCACTTACTAAATTCCTCCCACCCCAAGCTGAAAGCAGCCTGGTGATACTCACTGCTTACAAGTTACCGAGGTGAATAAACAGCAAATCGTATTCATTCCCTCCAACTCACAGCAGAATGTGTAGCATATTTATGAGCTGCTTTTGACGCCCCTGTTGAAAAAGATCCCAGCCAAGCAAAAGAAAGCAAGCACGCTACCCCCAAGCTCAGCTTTGCCTTTTCTAAATTCATGCTCAGAGAAGTTGGCAAAGATGAGTAGCAATGCGGCTGGTGGTGACATTTTTAAACCAACACCAGAAACCAAACGAGGGTGGTGATGCGGTAGTGATCACAGCAGCATTTGGAGCACATTTCTGGCCCCTGCTTTTCCCTCTTTCTCCTTATAATTTGACTTCTCCGTGAACTGGCTCCATGCAACCACATGTTCCATTCAAAAGGGCATAATGCACAGTTCACTCCATGTGTCTACTCAGAAGTTCCAATGGGATTTGCAGCAGCCTTGGGATGTCTATGACTAAAGTGAACCATAGATTGTATGCAACGGAGAGAAACCAAAACCCAGCACTCCATCATCACAAGCAATTCTTAAGACAGCTTTTGTGTTTCCCATGTGTGTAATTTAAATGTAAAACCTACACTGGTTAGAATATACATTTGATTTCAAAACAATCTTCTTTTGCTTTCTACGTGGCATTTCCTTAGGCTCAGTGCAGATGCAAGGCTGCCTGACTTTCTAACTATGATTAGATCAGGAGCAGTCCACCGGCTAGCAAACACTCTTCCCTTGCTCAGGAGCCTTCTATTCTTCTTGTTCATTTTCCCAAGCCAATCATAGTTAGCATTATTTCTGAACCAATGTTAGCAGTCACGACTAGAAATAACTTGCAAACTGAAGTCTGAGTTAAGCTATGTTTACCAAAAAAATAAAGATGAAGACACAACAGTAAATATGGATTGCAACAAGAAGAAGAGTAGAAGAAGAGTTTGGATTTGATATCCCGCCTTTCACTCCCTTTAAGGAGTCTCAAAGCGGCTAACATTCTCCTTTCCCTTCCTCCCCCACAACAAACACTCTGTGAGGTGAGTGGGGCTGAGAGACTTCAAAGAAGTGTGACTGGCCCAAGGTCACCCAGCAGCTGCATGTGGAGGAGCAGAGACGCGAACCCGGTTCCCCAGATTACGAGACTACCGCTCTTAACCACTACACCACACTGGAAAAGAAGGTGGAATTTTTCATGGGAGAAGGATGTGGAAGCCACACAGTTAGATTAGGCAGTATTTGGTTTACAGAAGACGTTAACGTCATCTCTTAGCACACTCATTCTATACTTATTTCTTTAAATTGGACAGTCATATATATCCCATATTCAGGGCAGTTGAATTGATTTTTTTAAAAAGTTGACAAGTCATCAGCCCTTTATCCAATTTATCTGTCACATTCAAATACAGTTTGCAATATTACCAATATTTCAAAACAGGTGCCCTCCTAAGATATCCAAGTTAATACAAAGTGTGAGATAATTTAAAATTTAATGAACAAAAATGACTAATGGGAAAGAAAGGCCATCATTTTAAAATTATGTTTCTCCTAATGATCCTTGAAAGCCAAAGTAGGCTCAAAAAGATTTGCCATTTTCATCACTGATTAATCTACTAATGACTTAACAAAAAGACAGGTTCCTGTTCCGAGCAGCAAACAATCTAAATTTTTGCATGAGGAAGTAAAAGAGGGACGGGAGGCAGACTGAGGTGAGTGCAAAGAGGGGAAATAATATAAATCCACTTTGGGGGTACTTCCAAATGGCCTGTTTATTGAGCATTAATCCTAATTTCTTAGGGTATTTAATTAACGTTCCAATATGTTTGCGGGGAGGTTAGCTGACCGTCACGCTAAAATCAAGTGTTATCCCACACTCTCCAGGGCATTTTCTCTTTGCTTTTCTTATTATGAAAAGTCTGACCTGTGGGGAAAGCAAGTTTGTTTCACAAGACCTCCCAAATCAGCTATAATTTTGCAACCTGAATTTGCAGGTATGTTACTGGAACTTACCCCAAATTAGCAGAAGGGTCCTCAGTTTCAGGCAGAGGATGAGAACATAATGGGTTAAGCCAGTGGAAAAGGTGACTTTTGAGATGGGAAATGAAAAGGAAATGGTACCACATTGGTATTCTGGGAGGGTGTTCCAGGAATAAGGGTAGTGCCGGCCCATCCATGAGGCAAGGCGAAGCGACCACCTCAGGCGGCAGGGTCCACCCAGGGCAGGAGATCCTGATGTCGATCTTTCTTTCCCTGCTCCCTTGTTCCTGATATAGATCTTCCCTGACCCCTTTTTCCTTGGCAGGGAGAGATGCCGTCTTGAGGCCTACCCCAGGCTGGTCCTGCCTAATGCGCACCAAGACAATAAGAGATATTTGGGCAGCAGAGAGTGATAACTATGGGTCGAGGGAGACACCTGTTATCATACAGATTGCCCTTCACAGGGGTTGCCCTTAAGGAAATACTGCGGTTGTGGCAGTGTTTTCAATGACAATCACAGTTCAGACTCTCTATCTCACTTCCCGGAGGATGCGTGTATAGACGAGGGGGGGGTGCCTTAGGTAAAGGTAAAAAGGTAAAGGACCCCTGGACGGTTAAGTCCAGTCAAACGCGACTATGGGGTTGCCGCGCTCATCTCACTTTCAGGCCAAAGGAGCCGGCGTTTGTCCACAAACAGCTTTCCGCGTCATGTGGCCAGCATGGCTAAACCACTTCTGGCGCACGGAAGACCGTGACGAGTGCCAGAGCACACGGAAACGCCATTTACCTTCCCGCCACAGTGGTACCTATTTATCTACTTGCACTGGCGTGCTTTTGAACTGCTAGGTTGGCATGAGCTGGGACAGAGGAATGGGAGCTCACTCTGTCACGGGGAATCAAACCGCCGACCTTCCGATCGGGAAGCCCAAGAGGATCAGTGGTTTAGACCACAGCGCCACCTGCGTCCCAAGACGGCGCCTTACCTTGGCGTTGCAGCACTTTGCCTTTGTTGAGCTGCTTGAGGCGCTTCTGGTGAGACTTGCCATTGTAGTGGATCTGAGCCTGTACTGCTGAATTGAGCTGGATATTGCACACCTCACAGAGCGTGAACGACGGGTGCTTCTTCTCCCTTTTTGTGCGCTGCTCTGGTGCGCACCCTATACCAGAGCTCTCTGTGAGGGTCCCAAAGATGCTGCTCCTCCCTGGGGAGTGGGGTGGGCTCAGGGGCCGCTTCATCCCTGTGGGGACGGGAAGGAGAAAAAGAATTAAAATAGGTACCAGAATCTGCCTGATGAGACACACGCAGTGGATTTGGGGAGCAAAAGTCACCATAACAGCTTCAGTCTTCCCCATCCATCTGATCTAGCTACAAAACCAACAAGCAGTACATAGAAACATCCTCTAGATGGAGTCAACTGCCTTCTCTTTTGCCTACAATACAGCTTAATTCAGCTGAAATCACTGCTAGGTAGAACTGCAAGCATTACAGCATCTTTATTTCACTGGTCTCGACCTCAGCGCTCCCTCTTTGCTACATGGTGGAACTTCGAGGCAGCCTTTACAGGTCTATTTTTCTCTGGAGGGGAAATCACTGGAGACATCAGTTCATCTAACTCTGCAACGACCCGTTCCTTGGCAACTCCAAATGTTGTCTAAAGCACGAATTTACACAGTGTCATTCCAGGGTTAAGTGAGTTTGAAACAGACCCGCTTTGGCTTCCTGGATGTGTTCAAAGGGCAATTCAGAGGTTTTAGCGATGCACGGGGAAAGAGAAAGTTACTCCTCTTTCATTCCACAGTATGTGACAATACAAAACAATTGCAAGGCGATTATCTCCAGAAGGGAGCTCACGCTTGCTTAGAGGAATAGCAAATCAGCAAAGGAATGTGGCTGAAACAACCTGGTAACAAACGGGACCTGAGCACCGGTTCTAACATCACCACTGCCCCTCCCAGTTGAAATACGAAGACAGAAGTTGCCCGCCTTACAAGAGTGCTCTAAAAATTACTGCAATTATGCAAACAGCCTTAAAAAGCCTTTAAATGTACCATATAAACGCTAAGTATTATTTGTATTGTGCCTTCAATGGATCATGACTGAATATAAAAGGCAGGAATGTTCATAGGACTCGCCCATTTTATTCTTGTTGTTAAACACTTTTCATATTTTTATGTTTTATTTCATATTTATTTGATGGTATTTCATATTTTACATTGTAAAATGTTCTGTAGGTTCCCTTTGAGACGTAGAAAGTGAGGAACAAATATAAGATTTAAGTGGTTTCCAAACCTGAAAATCGCTAAGGCTCTTTGCCTTGTGTAACTATTTTTTTTCCTGTTGTAGCAATTCTAACATTTTTATTGCTTCGTTTATTTCTTATATATTGTATTTGTTGTATTAAAAATTGCATCCCATAAGACAATAAAATACAATAAATAAAAGAAGAAATAAAAATACAATCAACAGTTATTGCGAAGGATGTGCCATCTCCTGTCTTCAAACACAAATCCACAGGTAGGCAGGCCATGTACCAGCTGAATAAAGCTTGAGGGCCACTGGTGGCCCACAAACCAGTTTGGGAACCCCTGTAATAAACAATAAATATTTAAAAAGAATACTGATCTTTTCCCTGATTCCTCTTCAAACTAAAGTCTGTTCCATACATTATACGGCAGCAAGCTCAGGACTAACACTGAACACATAATCAACTGGGTGGAACTGGCTGCTTAGTGGAATTTTGTTGGAAAGCAGAATTCAATAGTGCCACTCTGCCACACAGCATGCGGTTACTGAAACCAGTTTGGGATTAGAGGGTGGGATGCTGGCTACATGACCCAGAAAGCTGTCTGTGGACAAACGCCGGCTCCCTCAGCCTGAAAGTAAGATGAACGCCGCAACCTCATCGTCGCCTTTGACTGGACTTAACCGTAAAGGGGTCCTTTACCTTTTATTAGCTTAGGGAGACTCAACTTTTTTTGAAGATCTCCCCCCAAAAGCTCAACAACATTTTGTCTCTCCCCCCAACAAAAATCCTGTACCTCCCATGCCCATTACTGAAGATCTGCCTACACACCATACATTTAAAGCAGGGGTCAACTAACTTTTTCAGCAGGGGGCCGGTCCACTGTCCCTCAGACCTTGTGGGGGGCCGGACTATATTTTTTTGGGGGGAGGGAATGAACGGATTCCTATGCCCCACAAATAACCCAGAGATGCATTTTAAATAAAAGCACACATTCTACTCATGTAAAAACACCAGGCAGGCCCCACAAATAACCCAGAGATGCATTTTAAATAAAAGCACACATTCTACTCATGTAAAAACACCAGGCAGCCCCCACAAATAACCCAGAGATGCATTTTAAATAAAAGCACACATTCTACTCATGTAAAAACACGCTGATTCCTGGACCATACGCAGGCTGGATTTAGAAGGCGACTGGGCCTTAGTTTGCCTACCCATGATTTAAAGCAATGCCCTCCTGTCAAAGAATCCTAGGCACAGAGTTACAATTCCCAGCACACTTAAACCACAGTTCCCAGGATTTTTTTGAGGAAGATGTCTTTTAAATGATATTTAGGTGTATTGCTGGGATCACGGAGTGCAGACTCCCACAAATACGACAACTCCAGCTGAACCTCACACCCTGGGAGCATGCAGACTGCCCCAAAATAGGAATGCTGATCCACGACCTTCTCACAGAATGTCCTATAACATCCGCACCATGGGGTGCCACAAGCTGAGAGCAGGTGCGCAGCAGAACATCATGTGGGATGCTGACAGCCTGGAACATGTGCAGAGGAGGGCAACCAAGATGATGAAGGGCCTGGAAACCAAGCCTTATGAGGAACAGTTGAGGGAGTTGGGAATGTTTAGCCTGGATAAGAGGAGACTGAGAGGAGATATGATAGCCACCTTCAAATATCTTAAGGGCTGTCACATGGAAGAGGAAGCAAGCTTGTGTTCTCCTGGCCCGCAGGGTAGGATCCGAACCAATGGCTTCAAGTTACAAGAAAGGGGATTCTGACTAAACATCAGGAAGAACTTTCTGGCTGTAAGAGCTGTTTGACAGTGGAACGGACTCCCTTGGAAAGTAGTGGACTCTCCTTCATTGAAGGTTTTTAAGCAGAGGTTGGATGGTCATCTGTTATACATGCTTTAGTTGAGATCCCTCCATTGCATGGGTTTGGCCTAGATGACCCTCAGGTCACTTCCAACTCTACAATTCTACAATTATATGAAGTTTTGGAAATGTAAAGAGAAAGAAGGTTCTTTTTATCATATGTGGTAGTCTTGTAATAATAATAATAATAATAATAATAATAATAATAATAATAATAATAATAATTTATTATTTATACCCCGCCCATCTGGCTGAGTTTCCCCAGCCACTCTGGGCGGCTCCCAATCAGTGTTAAAAACAGTACAGCATTACATATTAAAAACTTCCCTGAACAGGGCTGCCTTAAGATGTCTTCTGAATGTCAGGTAATTATTTATCTCTTTGACATCTGATGGGAGGGCGTTCCACAGGGCGGGCGGCACTACCCAGAAGGCCCTCTGTCTGGTTCCCTGTAGCCTCACTTCTCGCAATGAGGGAACCGCCAGAAGGCCCTCGGCGCTGGATCTCAGTGTCTGGGCTGGACGATGGGGGTGGAGACGCTCCTTCAAGTATACAGGACCGAGGCCGTTTAGGGCTTTAAAGATCAGCACCAACACTTTGAATCGTGCTCGGAAACGTACTGGGAGCCAATGCAGATCTATCAGAACCGGTGTAGTAAGGTTAAAGCTTACTGGGAAATGATATACAGTGGTACCTCGGGTTAAGTACTTAATTCGTTCCAGAGGTCTGTACTTAACCTGAAACTGTACTTAACCGGAAGCACCACTTTAGCTAATGGGGCCTCCTGCTGCTGCCGCGCCGCCAGAGCACGATTTCTGTTCTCATCCTGAAGCAAAGTTCTTAACCTGAAGCACAATTTCTGGGTTAGCGGAGTCTGTAACCTGAAGCGTATGTAACCCAAGGTACCACTGTATAATGAATTGAAAAAGATGTTTAAAATAATGTTTGTAAAAAAAAACTAGAAGCCTTCCTTTTGGGAATTATACGGACAGAACTACCCCCAACTGTATAGAAATTTATTCACTACAGCGGCAAGAATGTTACTTGCCCAAAAATGGAAAGAAGAAGTCCCAGCAAAAGAAGAATGGATACAAAAACTTATGGAATATGAAATGGCAAAACTTACTGGAAGAATAAGGAATCAAAGAATAAGAAATCAAGATAACAAACTTTTTATAAAATAATGGAAATGGCTTATTGAACATTTACAAACCAATTGTAAACAGACAAGAGCATTGGCAGGATTATTGCAATAACCTGCAGTTTTATAAGAGTATATATTTAAAGTAGATGAATAAATGAGTAAATTAAGTTAATTCAGAATATGCAGAAAATATAAAAAAAATTAATTTAAGGAACAGCAGAAAGAGGGGGTAGGAAGTCGAGTTTCAAAATGTTAAAATGATTGTATAATTATTGAAATGTATAAAACTGAATCATTAATAATAATAATAATAATAATACAATTATATGAAGAGGATGCGGCAGTGATGTTTCTGAGATCTCTGAGATGAGATGGCGCAGGAGTTTAAAGCAAGCAAATAGCATGATCGATTTCTATGAGACTTTATGACACTAGTGAAATTTGTGGGGAAAGTAATATAGGAATAGATTCAGCACTGGTTAAAACTGTGCTGAACAGGTTAAATCTGAATACGGGCTCCAAGACTTAAGGTACACCAGCAAGCTCTTGCACCCTGCCAAAGTCTCACACGACCTCTGACCCAGATGTGCTATGGTGTGCTACTGAGTTTCCGGTGGCTATATTTCATTAACTGCTTTCCCACAGGTGACCAGGTTATTTTTAATATTGGCAGAAATTAAAATTGGAAAGTTATCTGGACAAAATACTTTCAAAAGGCCACTGCTCTCTAAAAAAAGGATACAGGGCCACTCAAATTAGCTTGGCCCACCATCACAGCTCCAGTTACAGAGTTTTAAATAACCATTAAATATTGTGGATGTGCTCATCTCATTCACTTAATCTCTCCGGTGCCCATTTGTCCCTCCTGGAATATTAGGCACTGCAATTCAGCAATCTGCCATTCTCCCCAAACAGATGAACAGAATTAATAACGAGAACTCTAGGTGTGATAATTACCATGGTATTAGT